GAGAGAGAGAGAGAGAGAGAGAGAGAGAGAGAGAGAGAGAGAGAGAGAGAGGGAGAGAGAGAGAGAGAGAGAGAGAAGCTAAGACTGTTGATCAACATTTGGGCCTTTATGCATTTATCATGTCGCAGCAAAATAATTCTCTCTTAGAAAATCATTAAATTCTTATCTTGTGTTATCTTATCTATCACATCTAACATTTTTTCAACTCCACATTTTTTAATCTTTTCTCAATCAATGAGTTGAGGAGGGGAGATCAATCCATAGTCTTTCAACTTAGAGCACAAAACATGTGCCCCTCAATCAACATTTCAACCGAATTGGAGTAAAGCAGTCTGCTGCCAGCCCACCATGTGACTACCCCTCAGAGACAGTGGAACATCATCTGTTCTTCTGTAGAAAACTAACTGATCTGAGGGGATGTTTTCTTCCCAAGCTACCCCACACATCTAACTGCCTCTACTCCTCAAGACAACAATTAGAACAGACATGCAGCTATTACAGAATGGTATCATGCAGAAGAGTTAACGCTCAGATGCTACTGGATCGCTGACAACAGCGGTGGCATCTCTTCAGGGGGGATTCAGGGAGGTTGGACTGCCTCACCCGCTACCCAAAGGAGGCGGTGGCCCTGGCGAAGAGCACGCTCTTCGGGGCTCCAAACATTTCGAACGGATAGGCTACCACACACACTCACAGCAACAACATCTCATCTGGCTGTCCCCGACGTTTTATGCAAAAAAAATTCTGAAATTATGCAAACTGAGCCCAAAAATGTGAAATTATGCGATTCTGTTAATTTTCACAAAGAATAATAAAGGAAATTAATCAGAAATTATGAAAAAAATGATCAAATTTTGCTAAATGATGCAGTGTGCATAAAACCACGGGGACAGACTGGTCTTATCTCATCTTATGATATCTAGCAGCTTTTTCAACTCCTCATTTCTTCCTCCCCCCTTAGGTGCGCTCCTGGCTATGGCGGCAACCCTCGCGAGCCCGGTGGCAGATGTGAGGTGGATACCGTCGGTGGGTACACAGACACATGTCGCTACCTTGAATTACAAAGTTCTTTCTCACATTTTTGCTCGTTTAGAGTTACTAAGACCCTGAGGTCAGAAACCAAATGTGAGGCAGCGTGGTGGAATCAGGCTCTCGTCAAAATAATCAAAGTGAAGAAACTTGTATTTTTCTGCCGGTTTGTGAATTTTTATCAAATTTTTTTTTTTGGCTCAATGCCTTTTATCCCCATTAAAGAACTCTTTTCAGAGTGGATTTTTCTGAAAAACGTTGATTAAAGGCACAAAAAATGTAAATTTTCAGTTACCACGGACTCTTAAGCTAAGGAAATAACAAATCTTTGGCTTCCATTTTCTCACTAATTTTACCCCTGAAAACAGGTAACCTCCACCTCCTTCTTTTGCAAATATCTCGACTTCTATTCAAGATAAATGAAATTTTTAAAATTCCAAATAAAGACAAGAGAACAAGCTTTAAGATGATACCAATAAATCAACATGCCCAAAAATTGATGAGAGCCTGATTCCTCCATGCTGCCTCACAAATGTTCTATCTTTTCTGTCAAAATCATAAGATTATTCGGAGTCGTTGTCAAGATTTTCAAAGAACTGCTTTTGAAAAAGCTTGATATATTATTGTGAAACTCAAATTTTTTAATTTCAGATTTCTCGAAACTTGTTACTGAGCAGATAAGATTTTGTGTTCTGAGGTAGACAAAGATGATTACATTGTACTTTTTTTAGTTTCTCTATGAGTTTTAAGTCACTTGCAATGAAACTAAGTGTCAGTCCATATATTAAACCTTTTTTATTGCTTAGCATTTACTCTTTTTAGTTAAGATTTAGAAAGAGTTTCACAGAACTTGCAATGAAAATAGGTCATATTGCTGAAAACAGGTCCCTCTTACTGAGAAATCTTTCATTAGATAAAGAACTATATAAATAGCTTCATATTTTTAAATTTAAAAACAAATTTAGTGATGTGTATGTCGCTTTCAGATTTCGTTCCGAAAAAGGGTTTCGGTATAGGGGGGGACACATTCTCAGGAGATAAAAAATCAAATAATTTTACTGTGTAGAATGGAGGATGTATAACTTTATCATTCCCTTTACCTGGGGTTTTTTTTAGGATGTATAATTTATTTATCATTTCCTTCTACCTTTTTATAATCTTTGACACATATTATTTTTTCCCCACAATTCCAGGACCCCCACCAGGTGTCGCTGTGAGCCCTGTATCTGTGTCCGAGCCCATTGGCTCCACCGCGACCTTCCAGTGTATCCCAAGTGGCCAGGCACCGTTCAACGTGGTCTGGAGCCGACTGGACGGGCGGCCATTGCCTCGCAGGGCCCAACAGGGACCCGGCCCCAATTACCTTCTCACCATCACTCAGCTGGAGTTTGCCGACTCAGCGAGATACGTGTGCTCGGTCACCAACGCTTACGGAAATAACAGGGATTATGTGGCTCTCCAAGTCACTGGTAAGTGTCGTTTAAGTTTTAGTTTTAGGAAATAACAGGGATTACGTGGCTCTCCAAGTCACTGGTAAGTTTTGTTTAAGTTTTTGTTTTATGAAACAACAGGGATTACGTGGCTCTCCAAGTCACTGGTAAGTTTCGTCTTAGTTTTAGGAACAGTTTTACTGCTCTTACAACACAAAAAAAGTCTTATCAGTGTCGATCTGGTTAGTCTCAAAAGCAGTTCACAAAAGCAGTTCAAGTAACATCTTTTGGTTGAGGCTTATTTTTAGTTTTCTTGTCGTCTCGATTAATGTAATGTTAGTAAAACTGTTGAGAGAGAAAGTTACAAGAGAAAGAGAGAAAGTGAGAGAGACAGACAGAGAGACAGACAGACAGACAGACGGACGGACGGACGGACGGACGGACGGACGGACGGACGGATGGACAGACAGACAGACAGACAGACAGACAGACAGACAGACAGACAGATGGACGGACACACAGACAGACAGACAGACAGACAGAAAGACAGACAGACAGACAGACAGATAGACAGAGAGAGAGAGAGAGAGAGAGAGAGAGAGAGAGAGAGAGAGAGAGAGAGACAAAGAAAGAGGGATGGATGGAAGGAGGAAGGAAGGAAAGAGTGAAAGGATCACTATTGGAACTATGCACTTTGTATTATTGTAAAACACATTGAGTGCTTCCTCAGTGGAAATGAGAGCACGAGGGAGAGAGAGAGTTCATGTCCGTGGACACATCTTATCCTTTCTGATCTTATCTCATCTTATCTTATCTTGTATCTTATCTTATCTTGTCTTAGCTTAACTTATCTTAACTTATCTTATCTTATCTCATGTTATCCTATATCTCATCTTATCTCATCTCATCTCATCTTATCTTATCTTATCTTATCACCTTTTACCTTCTCCCAGACAATGAGACGCCTCTGAGAGTGAGGATTGAGGAGCCAACCAATGTGGTGACAAGACCCGGTGCCCAGGTCACCTTCATCTGCGTGGCCTACCAGTACAGCAGTGCTGTAAGTAACTCCACCAGCTTTACCTTGGAAAAAGTCCTTCATAATGTAATCAAATGAATAGAGCATGCTGTAGAATGAAAAAATGCACTATACAAATGCAGTTGTGAGGCAGCGTGGTAGAATCAGGCTCTCGTCAAAATAATCAAAGAGAAGAAACTTGCATTTTTCCGCAGGTTTGTGAATTTTTATTTAAAAAATTTTTTTTTGGCCTAACACCTTTGATGCCCGTTAAAGAACTCATTTCTGGGTGGATTTTTCTGAAAAACGTTAATTAAAGGCTCACAAAATGAACATTTTTAGTTACCACGGACTCTTAAACTAAGGGAATAACTAATTTTTGGCGATCATTTTCTCAATAATTTGACCTCTGAAAACAGATGACCCCCACCTCTTTCTTTCGCAAATATCTCGACTTGTACTCAAGATAAATGGATATTTTTTTCCATCCAAATAAAGACAAGTGAAAAAGCTTTAAGATGATACCAATAACTCTACATGCCCAAAAATTGAGGAGAGCCTGATTCCACCATGCTGCCTCACAATTGTTATCTTGGTGTCAGAGGTAAAATTAGCAAGAAAATGGTTGTTGAAGTTTGGGGACTTTTAAAGCCTGAATGTCTTTGAAAACTGCAAGTTTCCATTTTGTGCCTTTGTTCAACATGCTTCTATAAAATCAACATAGAAATCATATCTGATGATAGTTAGTTTTTAGTAGAATTTTTACATCAATCACAACACAAATAAGTCATTTAATGCTGAACATTAAAAGTGTTACAAGAGAGTAACGTACCAAGAAAAAAATGAAGGAGATATAATGACAATGGATTCGTGATAGGAGAGAAGGAGTAGACGACACTAGAGCACTCACTCTTGATATTAACCTGCTTGCGGCTAAACCAAATTCTTTTCCCTCGATCTAGGCCAACTACGTCCTGTCCTGGTCCAAGGTCGGTGGTGTCCTTCCTGGCAAGGTTCTGGATCAGAACGGCGTCCTGGTCATCCCTGACGTTGACGAGAATGACATCGGTACCTACACTTGTACCGGATCTGACCCCGGTGGCACCGACACTGCCCGCGCCTCCGTGAGGTTTGGAGGTAAGGAAGGAAAGAGGCTGAGGAAGATAAGGAAGAAAAAAGGCTTAGAAAAATAAGGGAGCAAAGAGGCTTAGGATGATAAGGAGGAAGATAAGGAAGGAAAGAGGCTTAGGAAGATAAGGAGGAAGATAAGGAAGGAAAGAGGCTAAGGAAGATAAGAAAAGAAAGAAGCTTAGGAAGATAAAGAAAGGAAGAAATGCTGAAAGATAAGGTAAGAAAGAAGCCTAGGACGATAAAGAAAGGAAGAAATGCTGAAAGATAAGGGAAGAAAGAAGCCTAGGATGATAAAGAAAGAAAGAGGCTTAGGAAGATAAGGAAGGAAAGAGGCTTAGGATGATAAGGGAAGGAAGAAATACTGAAAGATAAGGGAATATAGAAACTCTGGGAAGTAAGGGAAGAAAGAAACGCTGGAAAAATTAAACCAAAAAAAAAAATTGACTATCATATTAGTTATTGGTCTCTGTTTTGGGAGGCTAGAAAAGCATGCCCTTATCCAAACATGAACTCACACACTTGCACATGCGCACACTGAACACACACACACACACACACACATGCATACGCACGTATACACACACACACACACACACACACACACACACCACACACACATGCATACACACGTACACAGATACACACACGCAGGCACATACACACACACACACACACACACACACACACACACACACACACACACACACACACACACACACGCACGCATGCACTTACACATAACACACACACACATACATACACACACACATACACACACTCATATACACCCACAAACACATACACACACACACACACACACACACACACACACACACACACACACATATATACACCCACTGATACACCCACACAGATATACTTCACACTTCCCTCTCGTGTCCCCAGATTTTGAGGAGCCCCCCACAGTGCGCATTGAGCCCCGCTACCTGCAAGTCTCGGAGGGAGATGATGTACAGTTCAGATGTATCGCCCAAGGATCACCTCAACCCACCGTGCGCTGGACTAAAGGTGAGGGTTAGAAAGAGGTTTGCTAGCAAAATGAATTGAAGACTATAGGGGAAAAACGACGGTAATCACTAACTGAAAATCGTTTGGGTACCAATATTGAACGCTTGTTGACTCATAACTGTATTCCTGTTTAACTGCTGGTTGATTATTGTTGTTAGATTTCTTATTCAACAACACTTAACAATAAACCACAAGTCAATCAAATATGAAGTTGTGAGTCCACAAGCTTTTAAAATTGGCACCCTCACAATTTCCAGTTTGTGACTACCATCGTTTTTCCCCTGTGCTCTTCGATTACTTCTCACAATCCACAAATAGAGATATTGGCCAAAAATCTATTGATAGCATATGCTTGAACTCTAATATGCCTTTTATTGTATGATTGTAAGAATTTCCACTATAAGCGTGATGTATCCGATCTATTTCCTTAAGGCTTACATCCGAGAAGTTGTTTATTTTGTCAGCATGCTTCACATTTGTTCATGAATAAGATAAGATATAATGAAATAAGATCTGATCAGATGAGGTGAGGTGAGGTGAGGTGAGGTGAGGTGAGGTGAGCTGAGCTGAGGTGAGGTGAGGTGAGGTGAGGTGAGGTGAGGTGAGATGAGGTGAGCTGAGGTGAGTTCAGGTGAGGTGAAATGAAGTAAGGTGAGGTGAGGTGAGGTGAGGTGAGGTGAGGTGAGGTGAGGTGAGGTGAGGTGAGGTGAAATGAAGTAAGGTGAGGTGAAGTAAGGTGAGGTGAGGTTTGGTGAGGCGAAGATGATATGAGAAGAAATGTAGATGGGCTGAGATAAGATTGGATAAGGCTTTATTGTCCCTTTGGGAAATTGTCTCTTGCTTCACAGAAATGATAAAAACACACGATAGAAAAGAAAAGAGAATGAGAGGATTTTTTGTTTTCATTTTTGTTTGTTTCTTGGGGTGGATTATAAGTTGTGAATGGCGAAGACAAATTTCTCCCTGCGAGATTAATAAAGCTTTTCATTGTCATTGTCGTTGTCATTGTTGTTGTCATTATCATTATCAATGTCATTATTATTATCATTGTCATTGTCATTGTCAATATCATTATCATTGTCATTATCATTATCACTATCATTATCATCATCATTATTATTGTCATTGTATTTGTCATTATCATTATCAATATCATTATCATTATCACTCTCATTATCATCATCATTGTCATTCACAATTAATCATCTCTCTGCGATACTTGTCCCCTGTTTTCAGGAGCTGACGGTCCTCTGCCTAGCTATGTGATCACCGATGACAGCGGCCTGTTCCGCATCCAGTCAGTGACCGCTGATGACCAGTCAGACTACTACTGTACCGCCACCAACTCTGAGGGAACCACGTCTGTCAGAACCATCATCTACGTTGAGAGACGTCCTAGTAAGTGAAAGGGAAAATTGAGACGATATTTATGATAATGATATGAATAGTGATAATAAAGATCTCTTATATAGTGCTTATGTGTGAATAATTGTGTGTGTGTGAGTATGTGTGTGTATGTGTCTGTGTGCGTGTGTGTGTTTGTGTGCGTGTGTGTGTGTGTGTGTGTGAGTGTATTTGTGTGTGTGTGTGTGTGTGTGTGTGCAATATTTTGTGGGAGAGGGGAGATGGAGAGAGAAACAGACAGAGACTAAAAAGAGAGAAGGAGCGGAAAGTGAGAGAGAGAGAGCGACACAGAGAAAGAGAGAGAAATTATCCGCTGAGAGTTAGAATCATATGGTGATCATGTTCTTTGTATTAATGTAAAATGCATTGAGCACTTTCTTTGTGGAAATGCGCAATATGAGAAGTATAAGTGAAGTTTACCATTATTATGTATTATCACATGATTCCTGCAACAATGTTCAAATCTCCAATATTTCATACATTACTCCTGCAGCAATGTCAACACATAACTCCTGCAACAATATTCAAATCTCCAATATTTCCCCACTTTACTCCTGCAACAATATTCAAATCTCCAATATTTCCCCCACATTACTCCTACAACAATATTCAAATCTCCAATATTTCCCCCACATTACTCCTACAACAATATTCAAATCTCCAATATTTCCCCCACATTACTCCTACAACAATATTCAAATCTCCAATATTTCCCCCACATTACTCCTACAACAATATTCAAATCTCCAATATTTCCCCCACATTACTCCTACAACAATATTCAAATCTCCAATATTTCCCCCACATTATTCCTACAACAATATTCAAATCTCCAATATTTCCCCCACATTACTCCTACAACAATATTCAAATCTCCAATATTTCCCCACTTTACTCCTGCAACAATATTCAAATCTCCAATATTTCCCCACTTTACTCCTGCAACAATGTTCAAATCTCCAATATTTCCCCCCATTAGGCCTATTCCTGCTACAATGTTCAAATCTCCAATATTTCCCCGTCTGTGTTCCCCGCAGCCCGCGTGGAGGTCATCGTTCGCAGAACCAACATCACCGCCGTCATCGGAGAGACTGAGCAGCTGATCTGCTACGCCGAGGGAAGTAACCAGGTCAACCTTATCTGGTCCCGCGAGGGAGGACTGCCTATTGGTACGTAGTCTGTTGGGTTTTTTTGTCTCCGTCTGTTTGGTTCAGTAAGACTCTTTTTTTTCTTCTTTTTTTTTAAAGGAAGTGTTTTATACGGCGCTCGCAACTTGCATAAGGTCATATGAATGCACAGTCAGACTCTTTAAACAAAATTGTGTGTTGTTGTATTAGAACGAGTATAGGTGAGTCTTTCATCTCTACAGGATTTGAGAGTGATCTAAGGAGTGTAGACTTTCATGAACATGTTTGTGCGCTAATTAGATTGTACAGCTTTGTCAGCTGAAATATTGAAAGCTATACCTGAAATTTTATTTACCAATTAAGCTGCTAAAAGGGGAAAAGTTTTCACCCTCTCTTTATTCATTTTGCTAGAACAAAGATAAGGTATTGTCAATAAGATTGTATGCAATTTGCTTTTCTGTGTGCAGCGAGTATTTTACTTCTGGTTTGTTGTTTTTTAAAATGGGATTTTTAAAATCGCCTTATATGTATTGTGAGAGATTAAAGAGAGGAGAGAGAGAGAGAGAGAGAGAGAGAGAGAGAGAGAGAGAGAGAGAGAGAGAGAGAGAGAGAGAGAGAGAGAGAGAGAGAGAGAGAGAGAGAGAGAGAGAGAGAGAGAGAGAGAGAGAGAGAGAGAGAGAGAGAGAGAGAGAGAGGGGGGTGAGAGGGGAACAGAGACAGAGAGAGAGAGAGAGAGAGAGAGAGAGAGAAAAGGAGTTTGGTTGGGATGTACGTTGATATTTCCGACTTTATTCACACTATTTGCATAGGAAAGCCAATTTTATTACAACCTTATCCTTTTTTATGTCAAGGAGTGATGAATGTTACCATCATCCACTAAACTCCTAAACAAATTTATCTTGACCTTAATCTTAACTTAACAATCCTTCCTCCAGGCGCCACCCAGGAGAACGGCATCCTGACCTTGAGCAACATCCAGCCTTCCTACAGAGGAACCTACGTTTGTACCGGCGCCACGCCCTCGGGCATCATTGGACGCGCCACTGCCCGCGTAACCATCATCGGAGAAGCTCGTGAGTACACGTTGCCATGGTAACGAGAACATTTTGAAGACTCTTATCATAATAGAAAAGAAATACTCTCAGTAATGTTTGGTGTGATTTACATTATAATTCAGTCATATTTTTTCCCTTTTTAATTTACTTGCTTTTCCACTTTCACCCCCCACACCTCACCCCCCCCCCCCCCCCTTCTTTTGGCAAGACTATACTCTTCTATTTCTTTGGATTTGTAGTCTTGTTTGTGTATTAGATGGACAAACTGCTATTATTGTTATTTTTATTAATATTATTATCATTATTATTATTAGTACTATTATGATTATTATTATTATTGTTATTATTATTATATGATCAAATGTATCTCTTCGTTTTATGATGATGATGATTATTATTATTATTATTGTTATTATTATTATTATTATTATTATTATTATTAATTTTACTAAGCAAGATAATATAAAACGTCTCTTTTCCTTATTCAGGTGAGGCACCAACAGTGACCATTGAGCCAGACCGTCAGACCGTCGGCTCGGGCACCACAGGAACTCTGCGCTGCATCGTGACAGGAACCCCGCGCCCCTCCATCACATGGTCCAGAGCCCGTGGAGAGCTCTCCAGTAACCACCAGGTACATCTAGATTAAGTTTTGTTTGCAATAATCTGTAGCACTGGTTCATCGGTGTGAGGAAAAAGTGCTGAATTATCCGGCAGAAAGAAAGAAATATTGGCAGAGAGACCCAAAACTCTCCCTCTCTCTCTCTCTCTCTCTCTCTCTCTCTCTCTCTCTCTCTCTCTCTCTCTCTCTCTCTCTCTGTCTCTCTCTCCCTCTCTCTCTCTCTCTCTCTCTCTCTCTCTCCCTCCCTCCCTCCCTCCCTCCCTCCCCTCCCTCCCTCCCTCCCTCCCTCTCTCTCTCCCTCTCCCTCTCCCTCTCCCTCTCTCTCTCTCTCTCTCTCTCTCTCTCTCTCTCTCTCTCTCTCTCTCTCTCTCTCTCTCTCTCTCTTTCTTCTGGCGTTGTGGGTAAAGTTAGGATCAGGAGCTCAGGGCTCAAAGGTTTAACTTGAAATAGTTCAACTCTGAGCAAAAAAAAAAATTGTGTTTTAATTACTTCTGCCTTGCTCTGTCAAGTACAGTTGAGTCCATCTCTTAGTTTTACTTTTAGTAAGAGTTTTACGGCACTTGCAACACAATAAGGTCATACAAGTGCGAAAGATAAGAGGTGTTACAAGAGAGTAACAAACACAAAAAAGAAGGAGGGGAGATAAAGACGATAGATGTTTGATAGGAAAGAAGACGCAAACCACACCGGAGCACCCTCCAACCACCCACAGTCCATCTTTGCATGATTTGAAGTGGATTCAAGAGGCATGGACTTCATCATCATCATCAATGCCTTTCACCCCTGGCAGGGTATAGGCCACATACAAGCTCCTTCCATTTATCTCTGTCCTGAGCCATCCTTCCAAGCTCGTTCCAAGTGAGCTTCATTTCTCTCATGTCCCTTTCCACGCATCTCCTCCATGTTTCCCGTGGCCTACCCCTGCCTCGTGCTCCCTGTGGGTTCCACTGCAGCAACTGTCTTGTGACATGGACCTACATATTACTATACTTACTCTCCTTGAACAGGTGAACGGCGACGTTTTGAGAATTCTCCAGGCTGACATGGACGACCGTGGTGTCTACGTCTGCACTGCTTCCAATGTTGCCGGATCTGCCCAGGCTTCGGCCATTGTTGATATCGAACGTAAGTACCCGTCTAATTAGGTCGTGAGTCGCCCCAGATTGAGTTGCTTTTAGCTACAGAATTATTTCATGGACAGAGAAGAAATCAAACATGGAAGTACTGAAAAAAATCCTGGGAGGGCCACTTGCTAATAATAATTAAAGATAGCATTTGTATAGCGCAAATCCCCGCTCAACAGCAAGCTCTATGCACTTCACAATCTATACCATTGCCCCAGCAGACCTGAGAGCATTCTGAAACAAACTCAACTTTGTGGGAAGCATACAGTGCAAGCAGCCATTTATAGGAGCTAAAACACTAACATCCTGACAAGATCTTTCGCTGTTTAAGGCTGGGTACCCATTCCCACCTGGGTGAAGTGAGAAAAATTCGTGTAAAGTGCCTTTCCCAAGGACACAACGTCGGGCCCGCGGCTCGAACCCCCGACCCCGCAACCTCATGATTACAAGTCCGGTAGCCTACCCACTAGGCCACCGATGCCACAATAGAGACAATTCCAAAATGACAAATGCTGTTTCTAGGACATTTGACCTGACATGAAGGCTTTGATCATCTTGCTCTCGCTGGAAATAATAGAAGGGAACAAGGCAGAGGTAGACCCAGAGAAATATTTGAAAAAAACTTAAACAGGTGAATTACGTGGAAACAGCAGGATAATGATAATATATGAAATAAATATATATGAGATTTTTTAGAGCCCTCAAGTGGAAAAAGAATTATAGAGATATATTATAATCACACATGTTTCTCTAGACTGAGCAGTTAGTGATGATCATGTTGAACATATGGGAGGTGTGCTGACAAAATGAGTTACTTTGTGAATTTCAGCCTAATGGAAATTGATACTTCAACTTTATAAGGTGAAGTTTGTACAATTTGTAAGTATGGAATACTAAAAGACACAATTGACTTGAAGAAAATGGCGTCATTTCAAAATCTGTTAATCTGACCCCATTGTCAAATTTCATCCAATATCTCCATTCTTGGATTGCGAGAAGTAACTCATTTTGTCAGAACACCTCACATATCGGTATGGGTATAATCTGAACGCGTTGTTCTTCCTAATTAGGTCGCGAGCCACCACTGATCGAGCTGTACCCAGACAACCAACAGAGCCGCTCGGTGGGCAGCAGCGCCCTCTTCCAGTGCCGTGTGATTGGAGGAACCCCCGCCCCGACTGTCACCTGGTCCAGGTCAGTGGACGGGAATGTGTTCTCCCTGATTATTTTGTTGTTGTTTGTTGTGTCCTTGGAATTAGCTTAATAATGATGATA